ATGACAGAATCCCAGAATGGGTTTGGGCTGGCAGGGACCTTAAAGCTCATCTTGTTCCATCCCCCTGCCAGCGTGGCCTTGAACACTTCCAGGGATGGGACATCCACAACTAATACATCATAACAAGCTCTCCTCTCTCCTGACAGGTAAATCCACGGCCTTCTCCTCAATTTTTACAGGAAGCTCCCAATTCTAAGCAACTACAATGTATTTTTAATGGATATAAAACCAGGAAGTTCAAAGACCTAAAGCAACAAAATAGGTGGTTGAGCCAAGAAAACAACATCTGACATTTCCTCATCTTTGGGCAGAACATCCCCAGCACTGGAGATGTGTTTCATAACTCCTGACAAATGGCTTTTATTAATTAGTATTTGCATTTCATTAATCCAGCAGCAGATTGAAAGGAAACTCTTACCTGGCCAAACATCTGGTAATCGTATTCGTAGATCTTGTTGAACTTGGAAAACCCTTCTCTCTAGAAGGAAAAGGAGAGTTCCTGAGTTTTGGTTCTTTAACAGAAAACAAATCCATCCTGCCTCGCTTTGCACACGCTGTGATGGAGCACAGGAGATACAGGGCAACGGAGAACCAGGTCCTGGGGCTAATGGGAATTACAGCAGAGGAATGGAAACTGCCTGTTATCCTTTTTGGAGACGCTGAAATGGTGACTTTCAAGGTAAGGGTATTTTAAGCCATCCCTGAAGGTGATTCCAGGGTTATCACCCCATGGATAATGAAGAACTGATTTGTTTAACAGGGCTGGCCAATGACCATAGAATCACAGAGATTCCTGACAAACACCTGTCCTGCTCCAAATGGTAAGTAGTGTCCCAGCTCCGGGTCCCCAAGGCTACCTCCAACCTGAGACTAGCAGAATTTTCTAGGCTGTGTATTTGCTGCTTTTTGCTACAGAAGCAGGATGACTTCTTCCTTGATTGGGACTGTCAGTGCTCAGGTTCAATAACATAAAGGAGGTTCTATGAGGTTGGGCTCTTCTCTCATGTAAGAGGAAATAGCCTCAGGCTGTGCTAGGGGAGGTTCAGGTTGCACATCAGGAAGAATTTCTTCCTGGAAATAGTGGTCAGGCATCGGAAGAGGCTGCCCAGGGAGGTGGTGGAGTTACCATCCCTGGAGGTTTTCAAGGAAAAACTGGATGTGGCACTCAGTGCTCTGGGCTGGGTGACAAGGTGGGCATTGGTCACAGGTTGGACTTGATCTTGGAGGTCTTTTCCAACCTTAATGATTCTCTGATTCTGATCTAGAATCACCTTCTAGTTCCTTAGTTTGGAAACTAAGTGATTATGCAAACTGTTAAAGCTCACAAAACAGACCAGCAGAGAGGACAGATCATTGAATTCCTCTTCTCCAAACCACAGGCCATCTTTGCTTTATTCTGTGAGCTCCAGTAAACCCCTGACACTTGCTGATGCTGCAAAAGTGGTGCTTTTTGACTGGGAAATGCCAACGGATGGTTTCAGTTCCTGAAGCC